CAAAGGGAGAACTGGGCTTGTGCCTCCTACCGAAGGCCCCTTAACCAGTCCGAGCATCAATTTCTCACTGGAAAAAAGTGTGATGGTAACTCCTGATTTATTTTTCCAGTGTTACAGGTAATTGATCTTCCTAACAAGCCTTGTAAAGTCTCACTGTGCAAAAATAAAGTGCAACACATTCCTGTCTTTGTACCCACTGGCCTTTGGTAGCGCCATGTCTAGGTTTACTCTCATTGTCTGTGAAGATGCAGAAGTTCAGATGGGCTTGGTGGATGTACAGACAGTATTGTTAAAATTCATATTGTATCACCCTTGGTAACCTGTCTTTGGGGTTGAGATGAGGGTGAGGAGGGGTCTGGACAGATGGTTGGCTATCGCCCATTCTGATGGCCACAAGTGATGTCACATTCCCTAGGTAGCCAGCTTAAAAAGGTGTCTCTCTTGTAATTCCTGTCTCAGAGCAGACCAAAGCCTTAATTTACCTTTGGGAGATGCCACAGTGTACTGGTTTAAAGTACAGGCTCTGGGACCTGACCCTGTGGATCCGGGTTCAGGCTCTATCCAAGCTACCTGACTTTGTTTTGGGTCTTTTTCCTTAATAGTAAAATAGAAATGACAATAGTTGTTACATTTCTTATACCTACCACAGAAGTCACCACCAAGTTCGACGTCTAAGAAAAGGAATGCTATTGTTATCTCATAGCTGGACAGCCGTCAAGACCAAACTCAAGGGGCTAGCATAGATGCGCTCTTTCTGGAAACTCTTGGATGAACCTGCTCCTTTCTCATTCATCACTGACTGTATGAGGTTCTTTCTGGTCACACGACTAGGGTCCCTGTTTCCTTGCTGACTCTTCATCTCCTGAAGGCCAATGACATATTCAAACTAGTTGCAAATCTTCCTCCAACTGGATTCTCTGAGTTCCCTCTTTCCTGCCTTTAACAGTTAGGGCTTCTGTGAGTGGACTTGTCCTGCCTGGAGAATCCAGGACCCTTTTCTTAAGATCTGACCCCTCTGCCATGTAATATAACACATCAGAATTCTAAAGGTTAGGGTGTAGACATCTTCCTGGGGAGGCTCGTTCTGCCTATAATAAGTCTCCATAATACCTGCCTCATGAAGTTGTTGTGAAAGTTAAACCTTTCCATCTTCATCTGACACCAATTCAATATCCTCTCGTCACCTTTCAACATCACTCCTCTAGTCTTCAGTGGGATTTCTTAATTCCACCAGGGATCCTGGCTCATTTCTATGGTGAACTGCAGATGACAGACCCTCTGAGCACTGGGATGGGATTCCTTTTGAAGTCTCTGTGGTGCTCCTTATGCTGGGGTGGAGGTGACTCCTCTGTGGTATCTCTTTGTCCCTGTTCTTTCTGGTTCTGCACAGATAGTTCCCACTCACACCAGTTATAGCAACAGGCACTGCTTGTCTTGTGATGTGCCTCTCTCCCCGGAGCAGGTGGTCCAGGTACTATAGCCCCTCCTCCCCCTTTGTCCTCTTCTAACCCAGACTCCCTAGCTCGTTCTGGGCTTCGAAGATAGCCACACAGAGACCACTTCTGCACTGTGCTATATTATGCAAAAGTGCAATAATATCCTTCACCAAAATCCACACTGTCCCAGGCAGAAGCCTTTGTCGGTCTCATCACGAGGTTCTATGAGTGTGGGACGCATTTTGCTCTTTCTAATCTTTGCAGCGTGAACTCCACAGGCCCCTTTACATTCTGCACTCTCACCAGGCAACTCCTAGAGAGACGAGGATGTTTATTCGGCATCAGATTTTGCAGCTCTGAGGCACAAGAATCCTTCGAGAGTTGGGAGAACAGGACAAAAATGGAGATGAAGGAGGGTTTTCATGTTGACACTAAATCCCTGAGGCTCTGATTTATGTGATATTTGTCAAGTAAAATCCAACCCGTTGTTTATGGCTGGGAGGAAGCCATGTCCTCCCATGTTTTATGATCCCACATGAACAAAGGACAGAAGAGTTCTGCAGGGAGTCTGAACAGGTGTCTGATGGCTGCAGGACATTTATTTAGTTATGAAGAGAAAGGAGTCTGTTTGATGGCAGAATCATTAAGTTGTCTAGAGTCATGGATTGGAGTGTGCTTTAATAGTTTCTAAAAGAAGTCTAGAATGCACTTGATTCCCCCAACAGTCTCTTGTTCGAAAGCCCTTGATGCTGATGCAGAGAAGCATTTATGTTGCCCTTCCAGAGAAGAAAGGTAAAGAGGTCCTGGCTGACAGAGGCTGGTGAGCAACCAGGGCTAGCACAGCTTGGCACACAGCTGCGGGCGTTCTGACGCAGTGGCCTGATGAGGACACACATGTACATGCTTTGGAGACTCAGTTCTCACTTCTTAAAAAGACGTGGTTCCGCAACACTGTGCCTAGGGTTCTTTTGACAGGAAAGTCCCTTGAAACCCTTTATTAAACTACTTAGCTTGTCAATGCTAAGGGCACTTCCCAGTTCTCCCCAATTCTCAGACTGCTTATGAACTACTCTGAAGTCTGGTCTAACTGTGTATTAGCCTAGAAAAAAACATGGTCTCAAACAATGTGCACACCCAAAGATTTGCAATCCATGATTCCATATTTGTTTTAATGATTACATATCAGACATCTGGATTTCAAACTTCATTACTACCAGCTTAGTGTGATGGTTTGTACCTTCTGTCTAGCTACTAGGGTGCCTGAGGCAGGAGGATTGCCTGAGTCCAGGAGTTGTTGCAGGACCCTGTCTTAAACATCAGAAAGACAGACAGACAAACAAAAAAACCCCATAACTGCAACTGTAAGCACCTAGTTCATTACACACGACACAAACTCAAGAAACATTTGTATCTGTGGAATAAACGCTACTGAAGTGTTGCTCATTGGGTCCTGGTGAAATTCTAGAAGACTCACTCCTTCCTTTGTTGTTGTTCTTAACATGAGTCACATGTGCTTTAGAGAGCCAGCATAACTTCTATAGACCCTGCTGGATATATCAAATCTATTATTTATTCACTCATTCTGAAAATATTTATATACTCTAGACACACTGAATACTGCTTAGTTCAACTGGCATAAAACTCTAAAGAAAAGTCTGGGAATGAATACGATTCCTTGCTTATTTATAATTTATTCAAATATGTCTTAGATTTTTAAGTAGGTGGAGTTAGATGTGCTAAGAAAGAGCTAATTTTAAAAATCTAATATAAGTTCACAGTTAAAAGGAATTAGCACTAACATGTAGCAGTACTGTACATGGATTGTTTAGTGTTAGTCCTCAAGCACGCTCTTTGTCAGGGGCGGGTCTCATCTGTGTGTTCAGATTTTAATTTTTATCATGCTCTGAAATGCTGTGGTTTTATGTAGAAAGATGATATAATTTATTGTCTCAACGGAGTTAATTATGAGGCTGGATGAGGTATTCGGAGCAACAGGTGAAAATGCTCTTCTCTAAGGCAAACAGGGTCCTGGGGTCACCCTAGTTAGGGTGGGACAGAGGGTGGGGGTCAGGAACTGTCACACCCTGGTGTCTTTTCATGTAAGTTGATCTCCTCTCTGAGTGTATTCCGGTGAAAAGTAAGTGGTCACATTAAATGACTCACACTGCTGCCTTCAACCTTCCACAGCTCTCCCGTCACAAGCAGACTGGACAGGACGGCTTCATGCTACCAGGCAGTTGGCCAGTCAAGCACAGGGATTCCTCTCCTTCTCCTGCCTCTTCCAATTTCATGGTTATAAAGGTGTAAATCATATTTAAAATAAATCAGCACTTGCTTGCTTGTGGGTTGGCAAAGGTTTTTCTCTCTCACTACCTAAGCATTCTAAAGCTCATCTGGGTCCAGCAGAGAGCAGGGTCTTGACCTACCAGTGATGCTTTCTGGATCATGAACACAACACAGAGAACCAGGGAAGAAGAGGAATCGCAGCACAGGGTTATGTGGCTAGGGCTCTGGCTCTGAAGAGTAAAACAAAAATCTTCTATTCAGGCTATCTTTTGATAGCTAGCATCGTGTTAGTCTCACTTAGCATGACATTTTGTGATGTTCTGAGTCATGTGAGAAGCTCAAGGTTTTCTCCCCCTGACTCTCAGTGTTTGCCTTGTGTACTTAGAAGGCAGAGCAGACAGGCCTCAACCCATCAGGGCAACATCAACAGGACCTCTGTGTAGCAGGCCTCAGGGTTTTGAACCTTGTTCTAGTTAGCTTTCTGTTGCTGTATTGAAACACTGACCAAAATCAACTGGAGGAGGAAAGGGCTTTTGGCAGGGTACTGTCCATCAAGGCAAACCAAGGCAGGACCTCAAGGGAGGAGCTACTTTTCTTGAACAGCTCAGGCCTCCCTGCCTAGAGATGGCACTACCAAGTGGGCTGGGCTCACCATATCAACTCACAGTCAAGAAAATGTCTCACAGACATGCCCACAGGCAAATCTGATGGGGGAAAATCCTCAAGTGGGACTCCCTCTCCCCAGGTGTGTCAAGTTGTTAAGCTGACTATGACACATACCTGCTCCCATCCTGCCCAACATCAGTGGAGTCTAGGTGCAGCTAGGATAGAGAGCCCATAACGAGGGGCCTAGCACAGACACCTAGACCTCAGTATTGTTCTGTATTAAGGCTGCTTGACCTTGAATAGACAACTTTTCTCTGTCTGTAAATTGAACATGAAGTTTAAATTTCAGTTACTTAAACGTGGAGAGAAGAATCCCAGGCTGCTCCAACACAGCCAACATAGATGTGCTCTTTGCAAATTCCAGGCAAGCTGGATGCTGTCAGAAAGATGAACCAGCAGTAAATGATCAGGAAACAAATGCACATCCCTTGGGGGGCATGAACACAGAAATTCTTGGGCGAGGCGGCTTCGTTCTACGACATCATCAATGGACTCTGTCCTCTCAGATGTCTTCTGAATGACGTATTACTTCCTGTGTTTTTTAGGGGGCGGGTACTTCTGACTGCACCAGATATTTACACATGCCTGCTCAACAGTAAGTGAACATCTTACCTGTGTGACAGCAACGTTTGTCCCATCGGTGACCTCCACGCTCATGTTGTAGGCCGACCTTTGCTCTGCATCCAAAGGTTTTGCGATGACAATTGTCCCAACACCCTTCTCTGCATCAAAAGAGCTGTCAAAATTCCCCCCTGACGATTTCACAGAAACATGAAATTAGCACATCTGAGGCACTGCACATACGGAGGCACTTACTTTTAAAGGGAACTTTTACATAGAAATACTTTCTGACAGGCCTCCCTGTGGCTCAATGATACACATCTTAAAAGGGGCCTTACTGTTTCTAGCTTAGTTCATACTTCAAAACACAGCATCTATAAATCATAACAAACGACACAAAAACAATGTATCGCAAAGAAAGCCCTTAGCAGTAATGTTAAAGTTGTGGAGCAGACACCAACTCCATGAAACATTGACAAAGCTAATGGCCCTCAACCCCTCTGTGCTGGGGACTTGGCGATCCTTTTGCATTTTCTCAAATAGAATACATTCTACATAAAAATGTTCCAATTATAATGAGCAAAAACAAATAGATACTTTAGGTCTATTTTAGGGTTGATGGTAAACATTTGACTGGTAGAATTCGGGTTCCCTCAACTAAGTGTCAGAAATAAAATCCAGAAAGATATGACAAATAAAATTGTCGAATTTCATATGCAAAATTCTCTTTCTGATCATTGAGATATTTATAAATATTTTTGCCAGCTTGACAGCGTAAATTAAGTAGAAAGCTTATGAGAGAATTAAAAATGATATATGATATAGAAATACAGAAAATCAGTAGCTTATATGCTAACTTATAAAGCAATTTATGTGATTTTCCACCTTGTGAACAAAAGAATTATTTATGATCTTCCTCAAATTAGAGGTTTTTTTAAGGGGAGAAAAGATGTTTGTGTAACTGTTGGAACAGTTTTAATTAAACATTAGTGTGTGTTCACAAGCACTCTTTTTTTAATCTGCAACTTCATGTGCAAAATAATTACATTCTCAGATGGTAATTTTATTTAGCTGTAGTATGTAGGGCAATGTATTCATTAAATTTCATATTTGAGGAAGAAAGCTTAGATTTTCTTACACCCTACACTCCTTGAATTTCATTTTTCTGGTCAATGAACAATTCATTTCCATGATATTCCAATAAATGGGTAAAGGAGTGAAGGGGACTTTTACCCAAATGACTGGAATTTGTTCCACAGTGGCAAAAATAAATAGTATGGTTTACCGTAAAAAAATTGTATATTTCAAGCACCTATTGCTTGTAGCTGCCATATAAGCTTGGGATTATTTAATTACTACAGAGAACATAATTGCCCTTGACATTTAATTAAAGCTGAAGAGGTACAGGGTACCACAGAAATGACTGGAGATGATATATGTTTTCAAAAATTTCATCTAAAAGAGACTCGTCTTCCAATTAATATATTTAATTGATTTATCGAGAAGCATAAATTCCAAAGAATTCCTCTGAAGAATCAAGACAGAGAAGGGGATGGACACCAGACTGAGTGAGAAGCGACCCTCACATCTGCTGCTTCTTGCCGAGGGATTGCTGCCTGTTCACAGCCTCACAGAACAAAGCACTCTCGGTATCTGTCAGGACCATCTTAATGAGGAAGGGGTGTATTCTGAGAAAACCCTTTGCCATGGAAACCTTCAAAGAAAGGATATGACAAACTTCTATGACTTAGGAAGTTGAGCCTACAACTTCCCAGGGTGCTCTGTAAAGTACTAAATCAAGTTTTCAGTCACGTGAATCACCTTTAGCCTTTTTTGGACCTTCATGATGTTCTTTTCTTTCTTAAAAATGAGGCTTGAGGTGCATTGTTGCTGTTGTTTGGGTAGCGGTAAAAGCCATTCTCCAGTGTCTATTTGGAAAAGGCAAACATTTGATATTCAAGGCAAAACAGGGATTATGTAAAGTATTATGCTTCAGTTTGCTTCCACTTAAAGATGAGTGGAAGAAGTCAGAGAGCACACAGGCAAAGCTTGTGAACCCCGAGGTTAAATGCAGTAGTTTGCTGTGCTCTCACTAACTACAGCCCCTTAATATTATGCAAAGATACATAATCACTCCATGAGTCTAATGTTGTAAAATTCACACATTTGTATGTGGCATGTGGACCGTATGCTTCGTCTTAAGTTGTTTTTTTTTTTTTTCCTTTTGGTGTCAAATAATGTTTTTGGTGATGTTTGCAACTGTTGTGTTTTACAAGTCTCTTTTTGTGTTTTCACGTGTTTTTGCGTGTTTCCTCCATTAGTCCTCAATGCTTCAAATACCTCAAAAGAGGCACCTCTAAAGACGTAGGAGAGATAGCTGGCTACAGAGGCAGAGGACAGCTGGTTGAAGGGTCCGGGGAGCATTTCTCTATCTACCAATGTGGCCAGTGTTCTCTGATTCCCAGTTCCAGGACATTTGCTCCTAGCTAAGCCAAGATTTCATGTAAACCAGAATCTTCCATGAGTTTCCAAATGAATTTCTGACAAGGGACAGAGAATTTAGACCAGCAGTTCACCATCAACCCTCATATAATTAATATCTTACACTTAAGCATCCCATTTCATAGCGGACTCCAGGCCTCTCCCCCAGCTCTCACTTTTCAGCCCCCATTTTAGCCCGAAAGGTGATTCCAGTTTTGTAGGAAAACAGTCCCACATTCTCTGGGGTGAGACTTTCTACTAGCGACATTTGGTTTAAACAAGGTGTGCTTCCTCAGAGCCAGCAACAGAGCATGCAAAGCCAGAGTGGGCTGCGTGCAACAGCGTGCGGCCAAATAAAAGGTGGGAGGGGAGGACGCTGCAGAGCTTGCCCTAGTTCCAACAGAGTGGGGTTCAGAGATGTCACAGCCTGTGCATTGCCTGTGCATCGCTGCGAGGGTGTGTGGCAGAGATGGCTAAAAGCGAGGTTGTAAACAGCCCGCATGGCACTAATTCACTTTAGGGACGTTTCTCCTTGGACCACTTGCAGTCAAAACAAGTATCATAGAAAGAGCACATAGCACAGGGGGTGTCCTGAAAACATGTTAGAAACAGGACATGAATGCACATATTGGGGCCAACGACAATTGGCCAGGGTATTGGGATCTGGCTGAGCACCACTGTGCTTTAGGGGCAGATGTGAAGCACTTCTGTCTTTCCACAGAGACTTAGTGGAGAAATGTGTGCAGCTTTTCCTGTGGAGAAGCTTCCAGATTCCTCCTCTAGCAAATGACTCCATTCTGCTGCTTGTATAATTATAAAAATACCAACCCAAATCTAGTAGTCACCCAGGGGAGGTGCGATTGAGGAGCTTCCAAAATACTGAGCAGCTGAATCTCAATGAGTTAAGGGAGCCATGTGCAAGCTGTTAGTTTAAGTTCAGCTTGCACACCCAGCTAACTGAAGAACGTCCGGCACTGGTTATGGCATGATCGTGAATAATTTTCTGCCTTGGAATGAAGCAGGTGCACACCAGGCTGACAGGAGACACCAGCTGGAGACGGGGAAAGACTGTAGGGAGGAAAACAAAACTCTTTCTAGACTGTTCTAAGGTTCCTCTTCTTAAAATGATTAATATGTGGAATATTTTTAGGCTTTTTCCTATTTTCCTGATGTTTCTTCAGACGTGCTGCTATGGATGATAGTGTTGCTTGTTTGGGATCAAGTTAGATAAAGAAGGCCAAATAGGAGAGATCAAGTGTTTGGTGCCAGTTCAGAACAGAGCAAGAGTCACTCTGATGGAGGGTCAGATGAGTTAGAGATGGATGTGGCTTCTCCAAAGACAGGTTGGGTGTTTCAGGACACAGAAATATGATTCCTAGTTAGGGAAGATGAAGAGGTGCCCAAGCTCTTGGGGTGTCCGACCATGTGTGACTGAAGACAAGTATCACACAGATCCCCTCAGAATCATAAACACTTAAAACAGGAGGTTTATTTTTTGCCATTTTAAACAACTCAACCTCACAGTTCTCCAGCATGAATTTTGAGAACAGTATCAAACTGCAACGTCAAGAGACTGGACGTCTGTGACAGGGGACAGGTCACTCCCGGTACTCTCAGAGTTTCTCTTGCCTGTTTGACCCAGTTTTAAATAAGCTGTGGCTCCACAGGGGACAAGGTTCAAGAAGGACAGGTATAAGTTGAGTCAGCAGCAGCCAAGTACCCACGTCACAGGGACCCACGACCACGCGAGGACCATAGTGGGCTTTATCTATCTGCAGCACAGATCTTCGGAGGGCTGGGTCTGTGCACTTCCATTTCCAAGTGGACTCATGTCCACACGACTTTGGGTGAGGCAAATCAATCAGGATATTTCATGTATGTACTATCTGCAAGGAAAAACCATTTTATACTCTAACTCAGGTAAAAACTAAAAAGTAGAAGTTAGTCTGCCCAATCCAACTGTGAGTTCAAAGGGACTGTGTGATGGCGGACGTTACCATTCAAGTATTTGCCATCAGGATAAGATTCCAGGCTGAGCTGAGAGCCAGATTGCCTGCACGCTGAAGAACACGTAAATCGAGAAGCAGCTGAGGGAAACCAGAGCCTCCCGAGGAGTGTGAAGATGTGTGACAAAGCCACAAAGGATTGTGGGTTATTTTCCCCCCTTCGTTTCCTTCCCCTTTTAACAAGAAGGAAGCGTGCTGTGTGTTGGGCTGTCGAAACCCGCAACAGCTGAGCTTTATTATGTTTCCTTTTAATTATAGCTTCCTTCACTTTGTTATAAGTAGGGCTTGTTTCTGGAAGCTGAAGCCTAGCTACAGAGGATGCTGTGGTCTTTTTGGAGGCAAAGGATGCCCATTTGGAGTTTCTGGGAATGTGTGTCTTGGTAGGAGGTTACAGTTAATCAGAGTCAGGTAAGTTTGGAAACGTGAAAGTAAAAACATTTTCTTGGGAAAAATCAGGGTGAAATGCCGTTTCTGTTCACTTAGTGATAATTCATCAGGTAGAGCTGTTCTAAGCTGTGTATGCTAGGTAAGGATGCAGAGTCCTGAGCATCTCAGTGTCTGCCCGGTGTGTGCCTTAAAGCACTGGTCTGCGGTGGAAGCAGAGCCTGAATTACTGTTCATAGAGTATGTGGGCAAGACCTGAGCTTAAGTCTCATTTTGGATCCGGGCTGACCGTGCGCCTCTTGCTTATTCTCGGTGACCCACAGTTTAAGGGTGAGTCTCAAGCACCGAGGAGCACTGCCCCCGCTCGGTCCCCTCTGTCTTAGTTTGGTTAAAGAAGATGCTTAGGCAACCAAGAGATAAATAAGCAAGAAATCATGAAAGTGAGAACAGAACATCTGAAGCGGATGAAGAAAATGAGGTGTTTAGAGAAGAAAACATGTCAGCACAGTGGGAAGACCTGACACGTCAGGCAACATTTCAGCAACGGGATCTGGTGGAGAGGAGACCGTCTCCGTACTGGAAACAACCAGCACCTGGGGAAAGGATTTTAAGTTCTACAGTGAAGAGTTGGCTTTTCAAGACGTTGGCTGGATGTGGGGATGGAAATAAAATCATGGTCGGTTTGGACGCAGGCCCAGTAAGTTCAGTCTGTTGAAGAAGCTTGGCAAGAGGTAACCAGACTCAGAGAAAGCTCTGTGAGGGACAATTCCAGATCAGAGGGACAGCCCCTAGGGGTCCTCTCTGAAAGAACTGCTCAGTGTGCTGGAACTGAGGGGGTCTATGGAAGAGGAAAGTGCTTAGAAACAGGAATGGGGAGACACAGATCAGCTTTGCACACGGGTTCCTGGATTGCATTTGGATGCCTGAAGTCACGCCCTCCAGGAACTGCTCTTTCTTCTTGAACTAATGATGCTCACTGCTGAGCCTGTCATGGCTGGAGTAAAAGGAAGGTCACACTGACTCTGGGCAGGGCTCAGGAGCTAATCATTAGTGGGGTTAGCACTGGTGTCTGAGCTATCCCACCATAGTTTAGTCTACTCACCCTGATTAAGCAGCAACAGAAGCCCTGTCCAGAGGAAAGATTAGAAATGTGATCTTGGATCTTGAGGCTGAAGAATGGAGCTGGGATAAACACAAACAGTAGCATGTAACATGAAAAGCCTGCAAGTAGTCTTGCATGCGGTGTTCCTGGCATGTTAACCTATACACAGACATAATTGTGGGGACCCTGAAGAATTGTAAACTGGCTTGGGTAACTGAGGATGGGTGGCTAACCACCCTGAGTATCAAAGAAATGTGTGCTAGTGAGTTCCCATGTGACATATGAGCATGGGCAGCCTGGGGCAGGTGGGAGGCAGAGGGGACAGTCAGCCAGTAGAAGTGTTTGCAAACCGAGTGGTAGTGAAGGGATCACCAAAGATGATCTCACAAAGATGTGCTCACAGGCAAAGGACAGCCCCCTGGTAACACGCGTGATGCTCCTTTGCACCAGGAAGAAGAAACTGCTTCAGATAACAGCTGAATAAGATGAAGATTACTGGGGTGATGGTGGTGGAGATGCTTCTCAGGGGTCAGAGAGGTTCCACTTCAAATATGTAACCAGAGATGAAGAAGAAGCTAAAAGGTTGGTGCCAGGATGGTCACAAAGACGGTGGTGGAGATTCTTCTCAGGGGTCAGAGAGGTTCCACTTCAAATATGTGACCAGAGATGAAGAAGAAGCTAAAAGGTTGGTGCCAGGATGGTCACAAAGACAGTGCTATGCATGTCAAGTAAGTCAAGCAGATGCTTTTCCTGTCATTTCACAGGGTGACATGCAGAAGTCAAGCCTTACTTCTGGGAGCTCAGAAGACTCTGAGGTTGGACTAGGAGGCATGGAGCACTCTTCTCCTATGCCTCATTAAACTGATGTGGAGCACCTTGATGCCTTTCCCAGACCCAGCTGTCATGAGGAAAGGCAGGTTCCTGTGCATCCTGTCCAGCAGCAACATGTGGAAGGAAACGAATCTCCCAGACCAGTTCTCTCCTGGATTCTCTGCTGCCCACAGAGAAGCGTGGGAAGTGGGCTTTGGCTCAACCCGGGTTAGATCTGGCCAGGCAGGCACATTCCCCTCTCCTCTTGGCAATAAGCAGCCTGTTTTGTTTCCCAGTCCGAGGCACGTTTTCCTCTCCAGTGCTGGTTTGTGGAGGGCTGCAGAACTGTTTTTGCCCTTTCCCTTGCAGCCTGGCGTGCGTGCTTGCTTTCTTTCAAGGAATTTAAAGCTTGGCTCCCAAGGTCAGTCCTGCCTGCTTCCATCTGCTTTCTCTATTCAGGGTGCGGGGAGGCTTATTGGCCATACATCTAGGGTCCATTTCCTGCCATTCCTTTCATGGACAGCAGCCAGGGGACTCTCCTGATGGGGCTTTTTGGTCTATGAATGGCACTACTACTGGAAAACAGAGGGACTGGAATACATTTTCATTTACTGTTCAATTGGAAAAGTCCCAGTTAAATAAACCAACCTACAAAAAGATTAAAAACAAAACAACAAAAAGCCCACATACCTCAAAAGCCAAAGGAAAAAAATCAAAACAATCCCCCAAACCCAAACCCCGTTAAACCTCAAACAAGAAGTCACCGGGTAGGAGCGATGAGATGGCTATTAGAGCAGGCCGCGCTGCAGCCTGTCACAGGCGGTTATGAAAGATGTAATTCAATTTGTTTTAAAAAAAAAACAAAAAGCCCACATACCTCAAAAGCCAAAGGAAAAAAATCAAAACAATCCCCCAAACCCAAACCCCGTTAAACCTCAAACAAGAAGTCACCGGGTAGGAGCGATGAGATGGCTATTAGAGCAGGCCGCGCTGCAGCCTGTCACAGGCGGTTATGAAAGATGTAATTCAATTTGTTTTAAAAAAAACCGTAAAAGGCAGATTGGCTAGCTGTAGTTTAGCAAATGTGTTTGTGCTAAGGGTACCTTCTGTTGAACAGTTCTGCCCACAAGCTGTCTGTAGAATATAGAACATCTCTCGAGCATGCTTGCCACCTTGAAGCAGGGCAGTCAGGAGCAGAAAAAAAGAACAGAATGCAGAAAAAGTGAAGAAAAAGAGAGAAATGGAGGACAGCAACTCTAGTACCATCAATACATTTAGAAATGAGATTAGCCAAGTGTGACAATAGAATTTAAATGACACACAAAGACATTAAGATCGCAGTAAATAACATACTATGGAAAACCCAGCCAGAGAGCACTTCCTGTTCAGCGGAGCCCAAGTCGGGCAAAGCACAGGTTGGTTTCCCACCTCCCTGGCTCTTTCGTCCCACCTCTACTGTACGTCTTTCCATCTTAGGCTAGTTTCAACTTGCTATAGTTTTAAGCAGTTTTTCTTGTCTTTTACTTCATTTTTGGGGCTAGTTTCTTCAAACTGCTAAGTACATTGCTTTTCGTAGGTTGCTCTAGGTACTTGAACTTACCAACGATGTCAAACCACAGAGGGGTGTTGGCTGGCTGCACAGACACCACCCCCACAATCTCCGTTACTCTATCGCTTTCCATGACTGTGAAGTTGTAAAACGGCTCATCGAAAGTCAACTGTATAGGAGAAGGCGGCGGTTTCTTAATCCATTCGATGTGCAGGCGGGCCGTGGAGGATTTCTGTGGGCGGCCATTGTCCACAGCCTTGATCTACCCACATATGGAGAGAACAGAAAGACTGCTTAGAGCCCAGAGCCAGCAGAAGTTCAGATCTTCCACTTCTGCAGTGTTAGGCCAAGAGCCCACCTTCCATCACGGGGTGAGAAGAGTGGATGCCTGGTGAGAGGGGGCTCTGGAAGGCACTGAGGAGTGCACTGGAGCCAGGGCCTCACTGAACTCTTGCCGGAAGCTAATGTGAGTCACTGCAAATTTAGAGCTAGGGAATCCTTGGACACGGAACGTGGCACTTATACGACAGTAGTGCTCTGGGGACGTGGCACTAGTTTGTGTGAATAGAAACAGCTGATGTGACGCCTCATCACTGGGCCCTGGCTCACCTCTGACAGTGAGGCTTGGAAGGAGTCAAGTCCATGTGAGATCCAGAAGATGTGTGAGTAATCTATCTGGGAATGTGCATGCGTGTGTGTGAGTGCATGACGTGTGTGTGAGCACATGATATGTGTATGTGCTTGTATGTCAGTGCATGACATGTGTGCATGTGTGCATGTGTGCAAGTGCATGATGTGTGCATGTGTGAGTGCATGACATGTCTTCATGCATGTGAGCACACGATGTGTGCATGCATGTGAGTGCATGACATGTGCATGTGTGTGAGCGCATGATGTATGCGTGTGAGAGCGCATGATGTGTCTGTACATGCATGAGTGCATGACATGTGCATGAGTGAGTACATGATGTGTATGCACATGCATGTGAGTGCAAGGCATGTGTGTACATGCATGAGTGCATGACATGTATGCATGCATGTTGGCACATGACATGTGTGTCGATGTGTGTGAGCATATGACATGTGCATGTTCATGTGTGTGCACATATGTATGTGTGCATGTGCATGTTTGTGCATGTGTGTGAAGGTATGTATGCATATGTGTGTATGTGTGTAGGTGCATGAATGTGTGTAGGTGTGTTTGGGATTGTATGAATGTGTGTGCACATGCATGAGTACAAGTATACGTGTGTACATGTGTATGTATGTATGTGGACATGTGTGTTGCACCTCCTGCCTTATTCTAAAGACACACTGCTCTCCATATCAACACCTTGAGAACAAGTTAGGGCCCAGAAGTGTGGTTGGCTGTGAAGGCTCCAGCAGGATGTGGATTGGGGCAGGTTTGCTGATGGAACCAGCTACAGGAAACGGTCTCATTAAGCAAGGCCATCACTCAAACAGGCGAGAGAGTCAGCCTGCAATTGGCTCCCAGAGAGCCGCCTTCCAGTGTGTGTCTGCACTTTCTATGCTAGAGATTTACTGCTCAAAGAAATAAACATGAATAAAGCTGTTAGCCCTATCCCATGGATGCTGCCAGAATTCAGATCTTACCGTTAGGATGTCATAACTCCCTGCTGTAAACTGTTTTCTGGAAGAGACCATGCCAGTTTTCGGGTCAATAAAGAACTTTCCATCATCGTTGCCATCCACGATGCTGTAGGAGATTTCTGCATTGGGGCCCTCATCTCTGTCAAAAGCAAAAGCCCTGTAGATGGGCTCTTCCCTCTTCTTGCGGTCACGTTCTGGAAGTTTGATCTGGTAGACCTTCTCAGGGAACTGGGGCTTGTTGTCATTTTCATCCAGAACCTGGACCACCACCCAAACAGTTGACTGCTTTGGAGAAGAACCACCATCCGTCACGGTTACCTGAGTTTTGCAAGAGAAAGCATGAGGCAGTCAGAAAGCGTGAAGGCTGGTCTCCTTACATGTCCCTCACCCGGCCCATGAGCATCAGTTCAGTGCATTAGCTCATCTCTGTTCCTTTCTGCACTGTGGCTTATAGGAAATGGACAACTCTTTCAGAATTCACCCATAAAGAATGGAATGCCCCCAAACCAGTAAGAGAAATCATTGCTGAAAGGATAGTGTGGAAGCCGGCTACCTGCAGTTGATTTATCTCCTGTTCCATATTCCATATGCTTTTAAAAGCAGAAATGCGTTTGTATTTTATATATATA